AGGGTATCATTTTAGTCTGGGATAGGGTTAACGATTTGATAGTTTTTGTCTGCCGATAGGCTACACGCTTTCTGCCGACACAAAAACATTAAAAACGTTAGTAAATATTCGGATTGTGCAATCTATTGAATATCTGTCTTTTCCGTTTTTTAGTCTGGGATAGGGTGCACAATCCTTAGTTTTAGTCTGGGGTAGGGTATGTAAAATAAAAATTTTAGGTCTGGGATAGGGTCAGGGTTTTGAGGTCCTGTCTGCACATCCCTACCCAAGTTGGGATGGTAGTACCCCCCCCCCCCGGTTTTTTAGAGATCAAACCAGTTTGAATCACGCTAGAGTAAAGTATCACACAATTCTTTCACCATAAAGAGTATTCAATCATCGATTAGCCAACTTTCATCGAGTTTTAGGTGCTTGAGTCGGTTGTTTAAGGCTCAAGAAGTTAGAATAGCACGAAACGTAACGCTTTTTTTTTGTGTTTAGCAACTTGTGCGTCAGCACCCCTGCAAAACTCGATGGAAACCCACTAATCAATAACTAAGTCGGTAACAGATCATGGTGCTGAAGCTATCCTCGTGCTCAATGGTAGCCCAAGCAAGGATTCTGTGTAAAAAATGTATGGTGATACAATAAATAAAACCTGCATGCAGCCGTAATCAAACCCGCAGAGATAAGTTCATTTCGACTATGGCTCGACTATGGCTGTGTGTTTTTCTTCATATATCCTGCGCATGCATATTTTACTTAAATAATAAATAATAATAAATAGAGTGCAAACAATTAATCCATGAAACACTAATTACTAATACAGGTAGTACAAAATAGTGCTAGTTAAACAATAGAAAACAATGGAATTTGCATGAAATTGTGCTATTTAGTATTACTAAAGTTTCACGGTTATATTGTTGGCACTCTAATATGCGCCTGTATATTTTACTTAAAGAAGCAAGCTGATAGCTGTTTTATTTTATAGATAAATCAATCTTGGGGTCGTAATTCTCAAGCCATTCCTATCAAGTTACAAAATTATTGACTGCAGAGAGGATGGAGGGAAGGTGGTGCTGCACGAAAACCGATGCATGTTAGCGGAAAATGCCATCAAGTAATCAGATTCCCTGTTATTTTCTCTCCCACGAATCGCCAACGAGGGAGACTCTACTAGCCGGAAACAAATCAGAGGGCGCGTACTATTTAAATTAATGTAGTAACCAAAATAGCCCTCAAGCTGTCTTCTATCCGATCCCAATCAATCTTGAAGACATTCCGTTGCTGCTGATATATATTCTTTGAATATACTTTCAATTATCCGAATTTATTATTTTGTGATCTTTATCGTATTCAATAAAATCTTACTTTATATGCATTTATATAGAATAGCCTTTGTGGCCTTTATGCAAAGATTTATGTTTGCGCGCGAGGGAAAATTTAAATTAGTAGTGCAGAGTGGGGAATGGCACTAGCTCCGTCAGCTGGTTGACAAAATTTCCCGAGCCCTCCCTGGTAAGTCGACCTCCCACACACTGGACGTCATGAATGATCGAACGATTCATTGATCTCTACTTGATTTATTTTTCCGTTTCGCCGAAAACGAAGCGTTTTTTTATTTAAAATAATGGACTAAGTGTACTCAATAGTGTTTGATCGTTCGTAGAAACAGTATGGCAGACTACGAGTTTGACGATTCTGGGATCTATCCATCTCGACCTCTCGAAGAAAGATGGCCGCCACTAGGAGCAGCGATGGACTCAAATGTTCAAGAAAACTCAGATGATGCTAAAACGTAAGCACTAGTTTATAACTATGAGCAACCAAGACTATGTAGTGAAATTTTAGAGAAGAAATTTGTGAGCGATGTTTTTAAAGTCGTCTCAGTGTCAGCTGTTAAATTGACGCTTTTTTCCGCGTCGCTAGATTTCTTGTTTACGAACCGACTGCTTCATTTGGTTTTGTTTTCATTGTTTTATTTTGATTTAAAACCTTATGATACAGTATTTCCCTTTGAAAGGATTTGCGTTTGTGAGTCCTTGCTACATTACCTTTTTTCGTGTGCTTGTTGGTAGGGAATTTTATTCCTCGGTTAATCGATTTTTAGATGTTTTAAATGTATTCGAATAAAATGCAAATTTGTTCGAATATATGAATTATATCGTATCAAACGAACATTCTAATAACAATCTAGCTTTTTCACGAATATATTGTCTTTTTTCTTTTCCATATAGTCCTTTTTTAAACATATTCTCTTGCAATTTTTGTGTTAATATTGCTGTTTGGATATATAGAAATGTCTCTTTGCATGCATAATTTATAACGAGCGAGTAACCTAATTATATTTTGTCTTAGGAGAATCGATATTTTTATCTGATTTCATGGGGTATTTCTACTTGTTTTAGATATTTTAAATTTTATACACCGCACCTTTACACACCTACATTGYAATGATTATCACTGATTGATAATTAAACTAATGTTTAATGAACCATTTTAGTGGTTAATTTACGATGAAGAGTAATTGTTGTTAGTAAATTAAATCAGAGTAATTAACTCTGATTAAATGAGCATTTGAAATYGAATATTTCAGATTTACCAAATTATGGAAAATAGATTTTTTACTGGCAGATTTTGGAATGAAATAAACTTAAAGAGGTTGCAGTGTGGTTTGAATGTAATATGATATTCTAAGATCCACTTGAAAACATTCTCCCTCTCTCTATTACGACATTGTGTTTAAAATATCTACATTCAAAAGTTCATGAGAAACTTTTTTCATACAGAACAAACTTGGCTTAAAATCATTTTAAAGAGTTTTTTATTTTTGTTTTTTGTTTTGATTGGCTTATATAGCTGGGAGGGCTCATATTCAGAGATTGGGTGGGAAAGTAGGAGGAACTCATAACTGGGAGCAAAAAGTTTGAAAGGAAGAAGATTGAAATGTTATTTCTTTCTCTCATTTTCTCAGTCAATCTAGTACGTTTCATCAAAAAATAAAGAAGAAAGGACTTATAATTATACTATAAAAAAGAGATTAAGCTTTATATGTAAACATGAAATAATGTTTTATTACACATTTAGGGTTGATATCCGTGTGACAAAAACAATATGAATGAAGTGATACAATTATCACTTCACGGTAAGCTGGAATTTTTTCATTTTATCGACTTTCATTTTATCGACTAAATGTGTAATAAAAAATTATTTCATGTTTACATATAAAGCCTAATTTCTTTTTTATTCACTCATTTTCCATGTCATATCACTCACTCGCTCACAGACTAGCTTGTTTGTGAATGATATGGAAACTCATGAATAAAAACAATATCAAGCACTTATTATAAGATGTGATAATCACTATATACTAGTCAGTCCTCCACTTCCATTTGGATTCTTAAAAATAATGCAAATAATTAAAGTGGGATGTAAAAAGAAGTAATATGCTGGTTTTATATGTTATAGTTACCCCCTTGAATCATCCTGTATCCACCGTTCTGTGTACTCAAGTAATCCAATATGATCACTGTAAAAAAACAAAAACATAAAAATTTCTGGCTAGACAATAGTGGTCAAAATGACTGGTAAGGCAATTAATTCAACGGGACAAGTCTCAGTTCTGGCCAATCTCTAGTCTAGCCATTATTTAAGCCCTGACTCTTATGAGCTGTAGAGCACTTGGCAATATCAACAAGAGAAACAACTAGTATTTTAACAATTACATAAATCATCGTGGCTCTCAAAAAGCTTTTTTTGTGCTTGCTGTGCTGTGTGCAGTCACAAAGCACTCTTTAAGAGCGCTCTGATGTGTCATCATTTTCCTAAAAAAAAATTTCCTGTTCTGCCAATCCCCACTGCTTTATAACTGCACACATACAGCAGGTACAGTATGTACAGCATGCATACACATCTACTATGTATTTCTTTAATAATAATGTTATAATTACTCAGTATGGGGAAATATACAAAATAATTAGAATAAAATGCTATTATTTATTTCGCAATTCCAAAATTTAGTTTGAATTATAATCTATTCATTTGAAAAAAGAAATATTATAATTTTTACATATATTAATATGTAAAACTAATAAAATAAAAAATCCTAATAGTTTGATCACATATGAAAGCCAAAAGCCTGAAGTTGTCTCGCTGGTTACCATGACATTTTACAGCTCTTAAAAGAATGCTTGAATTAATGTCTTTTAGCTTCAGTCAACACAAACTATCACAAATGGCTTTAAATTTAAATAACAAATTCGACTCACCAAAACATACATGTAGCCCTCTTGAAGACAAAGGTTTGAGGGTTTACGATTGCTTTTTTGATGTGTACAAAGATATTACAACTTTTCTCTAAAAGGCTGGATATTAGACTTTTGAAATCTAATCTACGCTAAAGTCAAAACTAAAGGTTAGATATATTGTGACTATTTTTGAATGTAGTGGTTTATTTAATATCAAGGATTTGGCTTGATATCTCTTTTTTAACATACTAGGATACAACTTTCAGCCTCCAACAATTTCTTTAAACAATTTAACAATATAATATTTTCTATTAACTCTTTTTAAAAGCTGCTATCTCAATTTAAATTGTTGTACAGTATTACTTATTTATATTGTTTAAAGTATTTTGAGTTGTATACTGAGTGCTCTAACTTGTATTCACTGCTGTGAACAACATTTTTTGTATCCTATTTTGTCTTACTATTCTGTTCTACAATATGGCATTTCTTACATCTCATTCAATATGTATTACACATATGTATTAACAAATTAAATCAAACGAGTTAAAATAATTTATAGTAAACACAATATATTTGTTAGCAACAAATTTACAACATTAATATAAAATTACTGATGATAAAATTATTTGAGTTTTATTCTACAGCTTGCCCTAAAGAAATTATGATAATTTAAAACAAAGCATTTTTTTAAAATATAAAGACAAGGGGGAAAACAGTTGAAACCATAACCAATACAGATAAAGAAAAAAATTGAAATCTCAATACTAGAGTGGAAAATATTCAAAAGATCAAAGAGAAATTTACATAAATGTTGAAAGATCCAGATGTGGTACTGTATTAGATTTATAACTGACTGAAAAGCAATAAAAATACAAGCTTACAATATCATCTTTTGTTGGTGAATAGGACTTAAATTTTGTAACCTGCTATGTATGATTGCAATTTTTTGATGCTAATTTTCCCTCCAACAAAATTTAGTGTCTGTAAGTCACGATTCATAAAACTAGGTAAAGCAGTCTCACAATGTACATAGAGGATATTACATGGGCGCGCAGAGATAAAATTTATCTTCGAGTGTTGAAAAGATCTCTCACGAGTGAGCGCACTGAATGAGTGAGTCTATTTTCAGCACAAGAAGAAAAATTTCGTATCTCCAAGCGCCCATGTAATATTCTGTTTATTATATAATTATCCATAAAATCAACTTAACAAGCTTTTTATTGTTATAAAAAGTTCTTATTTATAAACTAATAGCTTAAATACACATGGAAACGATATTTTCACATGTGAAAATAACGTTATTTTCACATGTGAAAATATCAGTTTTTCAAAAAGGAGAAATATAGGTATTTTATGGATAAATATATTATAAATGCATGTTATTTTATACATTGGAATGGAATTTCTAATTTWWAAAAAAAAATTTTTTTTTAATTTTCTCACCATGTACTGTATATATTTTTAAAATTATGAAATTATTGATGAATTTTAAAAATGCTTTTTTTCAGATCAGACCACTTGAAGCTACACGAGCTCCAAGAAGAACATGAAGAACTGAACTCTTCGCTTATTTCGCTTACGAATCATTTTGCTCAAGTATGTATTATCCCTGTGATTTCTATTTGGTTCATTAAATGTTAATATTTAAGGTAGACCTTACTTTTTTTGAAAGTTCAGTTCTTTTAAATTCCCGTGATCATACCACCTCTTGTTCTACATTATTGTAAGCAAGAAGAAAGATGAAAGAGAGAATAAGGCAAATTTTAAAATGATTAACATAAAGGGCCACAAGTTTAACAGTCCCAACTGCCATTTGTGACCCTTTCTATTTGAAGTTGTATTATTATAATTATTAAGAAATTATTATTTATAATATACAATTTTCATTGTKTACACCAAATTGAAAACAAAAGCATTTTCTATAGATTATACATTCATGAATGTATATTTTTAATTGATGTGTACTCATTACTTCAGGTTCAGTTTCGATTAAAACAAGTGGTTGCAGCACCTCCAGAAGGAAGAGAGGTATGTATATGTAGAGTTCACTACCACTGGAAACCCATAAATAAAATATATGATATTACAGCTCAATCATAGCTCAAAACTGTGACCACTGATGATTCACTGTATGTTTGCATACTTTTGTCTTGCAATATTAAAAATAATACAATCCAACAAAGTTGATTGGATGAAGGCTGAGACAAGTCTGTGAATTCACATATTAAAAACCTATAATCATATTTGTATAAACTGTAAGATAATGTATCTTGGCCAGTAAAAGACAGACACATGCTAATTCACCTTATTGAATCAGAAAACTGTTATGACTTTTTTTTAMATTCTATAATTCTCTATTTTCATCCTGTTTCATTTTCTCTACTTTAGCACTTACTTAAAGCTCTGGAGGAATTTGCATTTCAAGGCTGCCCTGATGTAAGGGGTGGCAGTAAGGGCCCAAGCCAGTGTAGCAGTCCTCCTCTAAAAGATGTCGCAGTAAGTATATAATTATATAATATATATTAAGTATATAGAATTTAATTGCTAAATGTCTGGGGTATACACTAGATAATTTACTAATTGTCCATACAATCTAATCAATTTATAAATACTACTGGTACATGTATCTTATTATTTTAAATCACGTCAAGTAAACATAGAAACCTGAATTTTTTTGAAACCCTTCTATTAAATATAAAATAATTAATTCAAGGATACAGAGGCAGCGATTGGAAAACAGAAACAGAAACAGGACAGATTGATAGGACAGCTGAAACAGCAGCTGGAGGAAATGGAGAAGTGCGTTGCAGAGGAAGCAAGTAACAGTCTTGGAGATGAAATGGATCCAGAAAAGCTGATTGAAAAACAAAGGATAGTTCTTGAGCAACTCAAGTAAGACACGCAGGAGTTACTTAAAGTTAATATTGGATATTGAATTCATTAATCTATCTATTGTTTATAAATTAACATTTAACAATAAACTAAATTGTTTATGATGAAATGTATTCATTATCTCTTGTAGGGAAGTAAGTATAGCTTGATATCATTATTTTATCATTAGTTGAAAGGAGTTAATTCAGAGTCCCTGAAAGAAATCAAAGCCATGACCTTTTAGATACCTATAGCTCGGTAGCTAGAGTATGACTGACCTGTTATCCAAAAGGTCATGAGTTCAATAGACCCTTTTACAGTTCCCTGCGCCATCTTGAAAGGTAGCCATGCCTTTGCATTGAAGCGAGAACAACGGTGACCTTGCAATGATAGAGACATGTGAATGATTGTTTGAGGTGTTAAAAAAGGTCTCTATCATTGCAAGCTCACCGTTCGTCTTGCTTCGATGCAAAAGCACGGCTACCTTTCAAGATGGCGCAGGGAACTGTGAAGGAGACTATTCCTTTCAGCTAGTGACAAATGGTAAATTATTTCTATAATATTGTTATTAGCATATTTTTTCACCTTCATCTGTAAATAACTTTAAAATTCAATGGAGAATGACAATTWAAAAAAACGAAATAAAATATATATTTTTTCAAATGCAACAAATAAACAACTAACATTAACATGTATAAATCTAAAAATTAATATACACCATGCTTTGCAGAGGTCTTTTTATTCCTTCTGCTCAGTTCTGTAGATGGGAGAAAAGAATACCTCTGCTCAAACAGTTCAATTAATATACGATAATCCCCCCCCCCGAAATATAAGGAATTTGTATTCTAGATTAAAATACATAAATAAACTAAAACAAATGAACTAAACAATCTTGTTTTACAGCCCTAAATTAAACTTTTTGTATGCCTACTATACCAAGAAGACAAGAATGTGCAGCACAAAGCCATGGTACATAATAAAACCAGTTTTAACCTGCACTTTGCATAATTGAAAGATGATAAAAATAACTAAAGATTTATCCATAAAACTTAAAAATTTAAAAAGATATCTAAAAGCCTTATAAACATTTAAAAATAAAGTTGTAAATGTCTGTACCATATACTAGAGTGCACGCACTAAAACCGTGAACATTAAATAGTACTAATTAGTACTATTTCATACAGAATCCTTTGTTTTCTATTGTTTAATTATCACTATTTAGTGCTAAAAATTAGTATTTGTTTCATGGATTTATTGTGAGCACTCTACACTACACTCACCCATTTCACTACAAATGTCTCTACTATGTCTCTTAAAAAATTAAGCCAGAATTAAATAGACTTAAATATAAATCCTGGCAGAAACTTTCCCATTTTAAAAATTTCAGTGGATTAGTAAATGAATTTTAAAAGCACAATTAAATGAATATGTAATCTCCCATAAACAATTTTATGTCATTAAAACATCTTTACCTATTGCTAAAAAATAATTCACTAAACGATGATAAAAAAATGTATGTTTTAGAACTAGCTCGTTAGAAAACTAACTGGCTTCTTTTCTTAGCCTGTATCTAATAATAAAACCATTTTCTTGTTATGCAGCTATGTATTTGTTGCAAATTAAGTAGTGTCATATTGTTTTGTGTTGCTAACAGGGCGAGAACTGGATTAACACTTGATGGATTTGACAAAATGAGGTTTGTACAAATGTATTGGATTAATTAAGCTTAATTATTAGAAGGCATGCCATATATCTGTGAAAAACATCCTGAGAAATTGCACAAATGCAAAAATTAGTAAGTTCAGTAGACCTCAGTAGACAGTATACCTACGAAACTATGCACTAATTTGTACAAATTTGTCAGCACTCTATGATGTAAACAGAGTACAGAAGGTTTCTGGTGTTAGTTAAACTTTGATTTTAATGTTTTTAGTGATGACGATGTTAGACGTAATGTTGATTCAGCACTGGGACAAGTCATGCATCCCAAGAAAAAGGTAAGCTTCTTGTTGCCTTTATATAGAAGTCTAACTCCACAAATCAGGGAATGAAGACATTTATAACATTGTAAACAAAAAGAATATTATACAATGAGTATTCTCTTACATTTCAGGAAGAACTTGTGAAACAACTTACTTCTCAAATAATAGATCTTGAGAGATTTGTACAGTTTCTACAAGGTATGAATTAAAAAAAACAAACAGTGTCATATTTAATAGTTAAGCTTTTATACAGTCAACAATATTCGTAAAATTTGCTATCAAAAATAGAAAAACGCTCATTCATTCCTAAACCAACTTACATTTCCAATTTCGTAATAATTGTTATACTCAGGTGAAGTTAATACTGGACAGTCCAAGACTGAGACAACACATTTACAATATCCTTGTTCGTATCCTGTCCGCGTGTCCGAGACAGAACGGCCTCAAAAAGAAAAGACGAAGGTAGATTGATTTGATAATAAACCAAAATAACAATACAAAACTTCTGAATAAGATTTTTACAAAACGTGGTTACTTAAAATTATAGTTTTAACGGTATTTAATTTGACTTGTATTGATTTTAATTTGCATTTCCCACAACATTGAAAATAAAGCCATTCAGAATGCAGGAAAATCGATGTATATTCGGAGATATTCCACTGTAACTTCCCATCAGGCATTGCAGCCTAGGTGTATTTTCAATGATGTGCTACGGCTCGTGTGTATACTGGAAAAGGCACGGTGTGTCATGGAATATTCCATGGTATTTCACTCAAAACCATTGTATAGCTAGTCTATATAAAACTAGTCCAAAGTAGAAGGGTATTATTGTGAAATCTAATTTCTTCATGGATATGCCTAACGTTAACTTATTTTATTCTGTTTGTTTTGTTTTTCCCGATCGAGGTATCTTTTGTTCTACACTTTATTTTCCAACACTTCCCACTAACACTTTGCACTAAAAAAATGGTCAAACTAACTTACTAACTAAATGAAAACACCATTATAGAGCTAGTGCAAACAATATATCCGTTAAACACTAATTACTGAATTGTTCAAAATAGGTCTAGTTAAACAAAAGAAAACAAWAGAATTAGCATAAAATAGTGTAAGTTAGTATTACTAATATTTCACGGATATATTGTTTGCGCTCTAGTGCATGACAAAGATAATACTCACATTTAACTTCATTTACTAATAACGGAGAGAATGTAGTAAAGCAAGTCTCAGCCACTCTCTTTAGGTATCATTAACCCTTGGTGCATCAGGTCCTGAGCCTTTGTTTTTTGTTTGACCCCATTAGCTCAGTAACTCAGCCGCTTTCAAAAGAAGTGCGTCCTCCCTGACAGAAAGCAGAGACCTTGGGTACGAATGCGATTACTCCCTTGATCTGTCCGAGGAAGGCGACAATGGGTGCTGTCTTCATGTGCCCCTTACCCCAGAACAGGCGCGCAGCAAGGTGCGGCACTAAGTTAATTGCAAATAAATACTTAATGTTTTGTTTAGACATTATCATTACGTCACGCTTAGTCATGCACGTCACGTGACCTGACACCAAAGAAAAGTTTCCTTCGATTATTTTCTTCTTAAAGTTTCAGGATGTCGTAAATCATCTGCACAAAACGCACCGTTAATAGTTGATGAGTTACGTCACCAGATCACGTAATAAAAAGACGTTCACTAGTGCCCAGTTTTCATTCATTAACCCTGTCCTCTCAGTTATATTTATTGCTCTTGACAGAAACGAATTGGAAACTGCCTCTCGTCCTGTTAAAGGCTATTACTGCTACAAATCAATTAACATATACATTTTTTTCAGTATATTTTTTACGTAACTATTGTTATATCGTTCTAAACTTATATTCGAAAATGCTTGTTATCTTCCATTCAAGACGAGAGCGCTACGAGTTCCTTTTTTTTTTTTTTTTTTTTTTTTTTTTTTTTTTTTTTTTTTTTTTTTTTTTTTTTTTTTTTTTCAACTTCTAGATAGATTATTGTTATAATTTCTGGATC